AGTCCTGGCACCGTAGTAGACACCAGGGTAGACGCCGTGATAGGCACCAGGGTAGGCGTACCACCGGATCCACTCATCTTGGCTGGGAGAGACTTGGCCTGATGGATGGAAAAAGATTCCTGACAATTCTGTCAGGGTCAACAACATTTAGGTCCAAGCACACTCTTCAGGAAAGATTATGCTTTATTGGAATACAGTTTTGTTGCCAAGTAGTACAGGAACATTGTCAGGAATAACGATTAATGCAAGGAACTCAATACATATACTCTGATGCCTCACCTAGCTGAGCAAATTAAATCCAAGTGCACGCAGGGGAATTCTCCCGGCGGGACATCACATCATACACGGGAGACTCTCCCGAACCCCTGAGAGCAGAAATATTCACACCCATAGTGGAATGCAAGCCCTCTCACCTCTTCAAGTCTACATAGACATCGCTATGTCTCACTGCTCAAAGAGCACCTCCCTTAAGTTACCCATGGCAGCTAAGCAAAGCAAGTGAGAAAGTATGCAAGCAGGCATGCACACATGTGGTAAGGTCAGGAACAGAAGAAAGCAAAGAAAACATGGCAGCTAGCTGACACTACTCTTGTGTATGTTTATTATTTATATATGTGCCAATCCCTAACAAAGGGCTCACAACAACCAGTGTTGGGGCTGTGGAAATCAAACGTCAATTATCCGCAATGTTAAATTCTATCATTTCAGTTATGAAACGGGATTTCCTTATACAGGCTCTTCGTTGATCTCTTGCTCTAAATTTTGACACAGTTTGGATCTATAATTTTAAAAGGTTGCAGACCCCTGATCTCTATTATTGGTTTGTGTGTGCTTGGAAAGTACCATGAAGAGGACACACAACACAGAATTATGGATTTTAGAAAGCCCTTTGCCTGGAGATACGTCTGTAATCTTGAGCAAAATATGAGTGTGTTCACCTGTTGGGATGCACTTCTGACCTTTTTTTAAAAAACTTTATGTGAGCCTTTCTTGTATGCATTCTCCACCCTGTTAAAATACTGACTTTGAGTACACTGTGCA